CGCAGCTCGCGCTCTGACTCGACTCTGGATTCACACCAGACTCATCAATTGTTTCCCCCGTTAATTATGTCGTTTTAGAGCGCAGCTCTCAAGGGCCGTTCACACTCTTGCGACCTCTTAAAACTGAGTTCCTTAAAACCTCTTACAACGAGAGGACACACTGGCGCCATCTATTGGGTAGCAGTGTAAACTTGGCGATCCGGCATATTTTCTATTTCCCTGCCGCATTATCCTCTCTTTCTTGGCTCGAAAAACTTTAGGCAACGTTATAAACGAGCCCTTCTTATAGGTATTACACACATTTGACCTCTGAAATCTCGCAAAACCTCCGCTCTTGTGAAATGCAGTTCCAGGGTCCCCGCATAGATGGCGCCAGAGTGCCAGTGTATTCTCTCGTCCTAAGAAATTTTAAGTGGGTTTAACAAGTCTCGTCTCTCTCGGTCGTACTCGGTTGTAAGAGTGTGAACGAGCCTTTAGGCGCCCGTTTCCAGCTTGAGCGGCGAGGGCGTCGGCGTCGCCGTCGGCGTAACCGCCCCTGCATTATGGGAAACGTCCCATAATGCACTGCGGTGACGCGCGCGTTGCATTATGGGACGTTTCCCATAATGCACCGGGCGGGAGGGAGGAGGAGGAGGAGGGAGGAGGAGGAGGAAGAGGGAGAAGGAAAGGGGAGGTGAAGGAACAACGCGAGGAGGCGAAGAGCACGGGAGGAGTAGATAAGGACAGGGTACGGATGAGGAGGAGAAATACTGTCCCCTCCGTACCCTCCCTCCTCCTCAAGAGTTGCGCTCTAATTCGGCATTACAAGCAGTTGTAAACGTCTTTCATTTTTTGTTTTTGTAATTCACACCCGCAGGGGCCCATTCAGAAGAGCTGCACTACGTTTTATATAGATGAAATTATATAACATCGGACATAAGTAAAAACGCGCCACTACACCGACGTACGAAATTTATAAACAAATATATTTTACAAATACACCCGACTCTCGCGGACCACGCGATGAACAATTGTGCCGTCTCGCTTACTCGACCCGCTAACTGGATCCCACCGGACTGTTTCGCAACGCCGCTCGTCTATAAATGAACCTGGCGCACGTAAGTCCGCGGCAGGCCGCCTTGAAGGAAGCGTGCGCCCCGCCGTAAGAGGACTTATATGTCACGTAGAAGCCGCTGCGTAACAACCTTATACGCAAGGAGGTTGCAGCCTGCTTTCTGAATGAATTACGAGAGCAGCGGTCGAGGTCACAATGCGACTACATCATACAAACGACAATCCCCGGAAGTCTCAGGCGTGTCACGCTATAGTAACACACGCGCCCCCCCCCCCCCCCCCCCCCCCCCCCCCCACACACACACACACGTTCTGCAGCCATTTTTGAAGCGTATGTGTGTATAAAGCGAGCATGCTGTAAACACGCGTGTGGCGTGCCCGCATGGTACATCTGTCACTTTGACAGCAGCCAGGGGTGGAATTAGAGGGAGGGGGGCATGGATGTCCTGACCCCCCTCTCGATTTCTGCATGTGTAAAAATTTAGGGCGTGGAAACGGGGGAGGGGGGGGGGTTCTTAAACATGTGGTACGCTGACCAACACCTCCCCCTCCCCCCCCCCCCCCCCCCCCCTCTCTCTGGAAATTCCTACATCCGCCCCTGGCAGCAGCGTCATTGATAGCACGCGGCTGCCATCTTCCTGCAAAATTTTCAGCTTAGTCTCGAATTTAAATTTGTTATAGCGAGCGCTTATTGTTACTGCTGCTGCTGCTAATGCTGCAGTCACACACAGTGTACTGTTGGGACCGGTTATAACGAAGTCGGTTATAACGAAATAGCGGCTACAGCGAAGTGACTTCCGATTCCCGTTGACTTCGTTATAACGGGTCTCGACAGTATCGTTTTCTGTTTCCTGATCTGTCTTGCCCCGAATGTCGGACGACGAGAATGCCTTTTGTCCGCGATGGGACAAGGCGCTGCGTGTCGATAAAGACATGTTGTCGTGCTCGGATTGCCGACTGTCCTATCATTCGGGCGACTGCTCTGGTGCAGCATAGTCAACGTTTGAAACTAAAAGAGACGGCTATAAAAAAGGCTCGACGCTGTCCTAGTTGTAAATCTGGAAAATTGAAGGCTCTTCCGAAGGATTAGAAGAGCTCGGCATGGCGAGCCTTCTACGGAGATTTCCCGCAAGCTGAACGATCTGGCCCGTATCAAAATAATCGTAGATAACACTGAGAATAAGAACTTTCCAATAACTATAACGACGTCCTTAAAAGCAAATAACAAAAAAAAAAGTTACTGAAGAAATGAACGACCGATAAACGTTCCAGAAAAACAAAAGCAGGTCCATGAAGCCGGCCGATAAGGTGAGTGGCAAACAGGGAAGCTCAGCTTCGAGATTCATAGAATCGCAAGAACAGAAAGTGAAAACCTGTATGACAAGGTCAATGAGGTCGCGTCGCAGCTCCCGCCTCTATGACAAAACAAGGTCGTTGCCATTCACCCCATTACCGACAAAACCCGACAAAGTCCCCCCCTAGTATTGTTAACTTCGCTAAGCAAAAAGTAAAAAAAAAAAAGTAAATAAATCCCGAGCAAAAAAAAAAAAAAAAAAGTGGCGCGAACTTTGAAGTTTTTATTCTTGAAAACATGACCAGAAAAAAAAACGAGGTGGTATTATCGATGGAAAGTGAGTAGGTCCAAAGGACTGAGTTTCTTAATGTATGGCACCGAAATAGCAGCATTCTGGTTCATTCTGGTACGTAGAGAGCAGGCACGTAGCCAGGATTTTGTTTCGGGGGGGGGGGGGGGCCCGCCCATGACAAAATGCTGTATGAGGGGGAGGGGGGGCCCGGGCTCCATGTCCCCCCCCCCCCCCCCCCTGGCTACGTGCCTGGTAGGGAGGATGGTGAACGAGGAAACGTCGAAAGAACTGAGGACGATTTGGTTTGAGTAGATTGTGAAGACTTTTCGCTATGAACTCTTACCAACTCGCCCAAATGTTCATTCTAATGGACTTTATTCTTTTTTTTTTATTTTGTTGGTGTTCTTTTTATAAAAAAAAAACAGTTTTCCATTGCTTCCAAACGAATTAAAACTCCGCGTTGAGCAAACATGTAGTTCCCATTTAAAGTGTTTGTATCCGTACGCGACAGCTAGCGTTCAGATAAGTCAGCAGTGAATAAGAGAAAAACAACCTTGAATCGCTTTTTGGGCTGTATGGTGTTCTTTTCAATATCGTCAAGTTTACTGAGATATGGTACACGGACAATTCCGTTGTGTTCCGCTTGCCGTCATATCGTACGTATTGCTTAAATTGCACTACAAAGCGCGTTGAAGGATTGGCTATTTTGACAAGAGTAGGTATAGACCAGGGGTGGCCAAGCTGCGGCTCTTCGTGTGTTAAAGTGCGGCTCGTGGCTCCCTCCCCTACCCCAATCCCCCGCCTCCCTCCCGGTCACACGAGCAATTCCCCAAAACTTCCCCAAAAAGAGAAATGGAACGCGTTTTAAATCAAAAGACAGGTTGCGGTTTGGCAGTCTTGTGCTACTGCTACCTAATACGTGCAGTTGGACTGCTTTTTAATAACGATCGTATTGAAAGTAGTTCGAGTTTCGTTTATTTTTTTATATTTTGAATAATTTTATTTTTAGTAGTTCGAGTTTCGCTACAACTTTTACCGTACTACCTTCATTAGAGAGTTTTAGTAGATCGTTCCGATACCTCCGATAGCCCCGATAACGATACTATGCATGCACAAGGGAGGCGGTGGCGGAGTATCGGGTATCGTTATCGGAGTCATGGGAACGATCTACTAAAACTCTCTATTATCGCCAGCAATATGTTCGTGTTAGTGGTTATTCTTTCACTACAAAGCCCATTAGCTCAGGCATCTAAAGGAAACATATTAGGACCGTTTCTGTTTAACTTATAAAAAAAGGATATCGTAAACTTTAACGCTGAGGCCAAATGAGTGTTTTCAATTGTTCGCTAATAATACGTGCATGCTTTTTTTTTCTTGTGAAACATCTGAGGGAGTAATTGATACGGCCAACCAGACTTTAGTTAGGGTTAAATCATATAAGGTGATAGCAACTCATTAAAAATCAGCATTAGTAAAACTAAAAGTATAATTTTTCGGCCAAACCATAAAGAAGTCGTAATTACCAAAGCTTTAAGTATAGATGTGTCTTGAATTGTAATAGTTGGTTGTTTTAAAACCATCTTAACGTTTTTAAATGACAAAATGCCATGGTATAACCATATAAAGTATTCTATTCTGCAGCTAGCTCATTTCGTGGGAATCGTGAATAGATATCGTTGTTTTGTTAGAATTTTTTAAATTTTTTATCGGATTTACCATGCCGTCATCTCGTCCGGAGCACATCAACATTAACGAAAACTGAAAAGCCATTTCGCTTACACACACACAAAAAAAAAACAGGTTTTAAGGTGTATTTCTGATATGGCTTATGATTTTCACACTGCGGTATTATTAAAAAAAAAAAAAAGCTTAAGATAATTTACGGTTTTAAGTTAGGTGAATATCGATTATGCACTAATTAAAAAAAAGGAAGTACATGTTTTTTTTCTGTTTTCTTTTTTTCCTGTGGAACGCTTGGCGTTGTTGAAAAAGCATTCGGCAAAAAATGTAAAAAAATAAAAGTGCGCCTAGAAAAAGGGAAAACAATTAACCTGCAGTTTTTTAAAGCCTTGGTAAGAATATGAAACGAGTAACGTAACTACGTTACCAGTTACTCAAAGTAAATAACGTAAGTACGTTAGCCGTTACCGTTTTGAAAACGTAACGAGTACGTTACTGCGTTACCAGAAAAAGTTAAACGCCATTACGCCATTAACGCGTTACCACCCACACTGCTCGTAGCATCCGCTGGGGCCGTCCGTAACGTGAAACGGAGTATCGGTCATTCCTCGCTTAGTTCATTCCTTGATCCACTCACTCCGTCTTTGGTTCGTTCGCTCGGACGTCTGGAGGGGCACTCACCGTCGGCCCTGGGACTGGAGTCTCCGCCTCCGGGCGCCGGCGCCGGTGGCCCCTCGTCCGCCGTGCCCGAGGAGGCCCGCTGCCCCGCGTGCCGGTGGTGCGGCCCCCGGTGCCTGTGGTGGCGGCGCTCGTTGCCCGAGTCCTCCGGGCCGCTGTCCGAGCTGGACGGCGCGAAGTGGGTCAGGTTCAGGCCCTGGGTGTCCCGGCTGTCCACCGCCTTCTCGTAGCCGTACCAGCCCAGCAGCTCGTTCATCGTCGTCTCCGCGTAGTCCTGCACGCCCACAGACGGGGGAAAGCCTCCTGAGAACTATACGGCCGCTCCTATACTACCCAGTCTGCGCGCTTCCAACGACCTGTCGGCGACGCGCCAAACCGCGTCGCTGTCATCCGCTTTCCAAGGTTTGCCAAACCACGAGGACGCGTATCTTTTACTTACGCAAAAGACAGGCGCGTTCGCTGCAGATATGATGTCGAAATTATGCGTACACCCGTGAGCGATATGAAGGTGAACAGCCCTCCTCTTGTTTTTGACGCTCCTGCAAGTCTTGGAACAAGCTCTGTTCCAGAAGAGGGCTAGAACGCAAAGTTTAGACCCATGGCCACGTACCATTTGAGACGTTGAGAGTTAATATAGCTTTGGAGAGCGTAAAACAACCAAGAAACCAGGTAAGGTTTCATATTGCCGGCGGTTTCATATTGCCTTCATATTGCCGGCGGGCGTACAGACACGCCTCGGGCATGTTCCAAATATGTTTGTAGATCATGTACCCTTCGAACGGAGTTTTTGGACGACCGATGTGACCGTCATACGAGGCAGAAGCGTGCCTCAGACGGTGTATGCATAACCGCCTTTTGTAGGATGTACTAGCTGCGGGACCGCGGCTGCATTGTCCGACGGCGACGTAAACGTTTGTTTTTTTTTCTCGTTTTTTTTTTTTTTTTTTTTTTTGGGGGGGGGGGGGGGGAGGGGGTTAAGAACGCGATGACTCCTAAAGCTTCCACCGTGCTCTCTAAACACAATGTCCAACTTGTCGTCGTAACGGACGACAAGTAGCCAGGGTTCCAACTCGTGATGTCACGGTGAGGCAAATCCCGGTCGTGACGTCACGGAGAGAAAGCATGAAAGCTACGGCGCACTGCTGAAACATCTCGGTGACGGGTTAAGAATTAAGGTACAGTGTACTAGAATACTTGGGTAGTGTTGGGACCGAAGGGGCTCGCCTGAAGCGCGTGGTATTGATCGCGACAGGTGTCGCGTCCGGCGCCTTATCCGGAAGGTGTGCGCATGCGCGGCTGCACGCGCGAAAATATGAATCTTTGGTGCCGCTTTGGTGGAGTGCACGTAGGATTTCTGATACAGCTACGACCTGCCAGCAGTCGTACCGCGGCATCAATTACGCTGCGGCACGATCGTTAGCAACATGATGCTTCAATGTATTGGACGGTACAAGCTACATTACCCTTCCTTTACATAAAAACAATTGCGGCTTTAAAGAAGCGGTTTCGGTTTGTCGGATGGTGAGCATATTAAATGAAATGCCCATTTCCTTGGTCGCAAATGCCGAACATTAGATATTTGAGAGGGATATCTCAAACTCGGAAGCAGTTTTTTTTTTCCTATCTTATTTTATAACGGAACGAAACGGCACATACTAAAGTTCGAGATTGTTTTAGTATGTTTTTAATACCCCAGGTTAACTTCTCTGTCTTCTTTTCTGCCCGTCTTCTTTTTCTTGACCTTAATTAGCTCGCTTCACTTGTCACTCATTCTTGTGTCCATTTATGCGACGAACCGCCCAAGCGACGGTCGCAAAGGGATGAGAATCTTCTATTTCTTCGTGGCTGCCACGACCATCCGAGAATCACCCGACGTTCGCTTGTAAGAAATGGCTTATAAGCCGTGACAATTTTTATCACGCGTTTTAACATTTAACTTAAGTCCAAAAACTGAGACAATGTGGGCTGAACAAGTAATGCCTTATAAGATTCAAAGAAAACAAGAAACTATTTCACATCATTTTGAGCAGAAAACATGAGCACACGTAGATCAGGCAAGGAAAAAGTTGAAATAGTTTACAACACGGCATTGAAATAATGGCTACAATGTGCAGCGCATACATGGTTACAATATGCAGCGCATTATCCTCTTGAGGGTAAACCATCTGAAATCTACACGCTCACAACAATACATTTAACCGACAGCTGCTTTCTGACAACCAGGTAAGTCTCGCCTGAGCTGGGTATTCGAAGGGAAACACCCATGGTTCCACAGGGGGCGTATCTGGTTCACGCAGACATTCAGGGTGTTTTTGTTTTATTCTTTACAGAACTTTACATATTTTACAAAAAAAGGATGTGGCAGATATGTGGATGCCGTCTTTCGTTATATCTGTAGGGCTCGGTGGACAATGCATGGGTGAATAACCGTTGCAATGTTTAATAATGAACCAAGATCTGTTAGTTAACTTGTTTATTAACGGCTTAATTGACCATGGTGCAATTGCAGTTTTAAAAGGAGTCATTATTAAAGGCAAACACAATTTCGACAATTCGCGAAAAGGCAACGAGGTTCGCAAAATTAATCGTAAAAGTTTGCCTTTCTTCGCTTGGTTCAGAAACCGCGTTATGAAAATAATACGTAGAATAGTAACTTAGTCGTCTTGATGTGTGGCGCCGGCGAGTTCACCGAAGAAACGCTGTCGAGTTAATGACGAGGGGACAGAAACAACTGCGTTATTCTTCTACGCATCAATATCAGCACAACCTCATTCGCGCTTTCAGCGCGCAGTTTTTTTTAATTAAGTGAAGAAAGGCAAAATTTTAGCGATGAATATCTCAGGACAGAACGAGCGGGTTGGTAGAGATAATTAAGCTTGAGGAAGAAACGAAAATAGACGGACAACACACAGCAAAAACGAACGCCTTGTTACTTTCGCTCAAAGCTCGTTGTTTGTTCGCGAACTTTTTAAATTAGGTTGGCCTTTAATGATGGCTCCCTTTAAAGCTGCAATTGCAACATGGCCCATCAATTCAATTCAATGTTTATTTGATGAGTTGAAGAGTTTGGTCCCATATCTTGGGACCGGCTACTTCAGATCAAGTAATGTACAGTATGAATGATGACTAACATCCAAATATAAAATGATAACACCATGAATAATACTCTCAGTTGCCGTACACGCACAAAAAAAATACACGGTGAGAGAAGCGATTACGCAATAAATACATATGTACATATGTACTATAGATTACTGTAACATAGTAATAAACTTACTATAAAAAAACGCAGTTATCTTTTAAGGGCGCGTTGTGCGTGTTTTGACCTTCGTATGATACCTAATATCTGTAAACTATCTTTGTGTCAGTTAAAAAATCACGTAGTAAAGTTGATGCCCTCTTCTGGCTTTTTAAGTCCGGCCAAGCTCCTAACACCTTGGCCAAAGAAAAAGAGCGATTGTCGAGTATGCTTAGTCCAACTCGTAATCGAGTTCGCCACTGGTCGTATCTGGGACAGTCCATTATTATGTGCTCGACGTCTTCCACAGGGTGGCCACACGTGCAGCTCGGTGTTTCCACCTGTTGAATTCGGTAAAGAAATTGGCCGGTGTACGCAACATTTAGTCGTAGGCGATGAATTAGTGTTTCAATAGGTCTGCTCAAGTAATTATGGACTGGGCACCGAAGGTCTCGATCAATTAGAAGGAGTAGGCTCTGTTCCGAGATGCTCTTGAGCCATGTGTCAGGGGACATCATGTTTCTCAGACAACGAATGTACCGCTTGGCATCGCTTTTTGTAAAAGGTGTGAGCTGAACGTTGTTGCTTGTATATGCATCCGTAGCCAGTTGGTCAGCTTGGGTGTTTCCTAAGATACCGCTATGTCCAGGAACCCATTGAAGGTGTACCGTATGTCCAATCCTTATTGCTTCCCCAAGTTCTTCACAAATTCGGTACACAAGAGCCATATTTTCGTTGCGAGTGTTCAGGGTATTAATGGATTGTAGTGCTGGCTCGGAGTCCGTACATACAACCCAGGAATTCGCTGTCGAGCTAGTTTTGATGTATATTGCAGCCGCGAGTAAAGCATGCAATTCTGCGGTAGTTGAAGAAGTATGATGTGACAACCGAAAGGATGACGAATGGCTGAACTGGGGTACCACAAATGCTGATGTTGATCCTTCATCCTTGGTTGATCCGTCGGTATACACGTGGATGTTGTCGTCGTATTTATGCTGTAGATGTGCAAGAGTCAATGTCCTTGCAACGTGTGTATTGACCGAGGCTTTTGTTTCCATGCCTGGAATGTTCATGTGGACGTCTAGTAATGGTAGCTTCCATGGTGGCTTATGAATGTCCTGAACCCAGTGTGTTTGTTCAGGGATTAATAGGGGCACGAAATTTAATGTTCGAAGAAAGTTCGTCCCTTTGCGAGAAAGAATTTCAATAAAAAGTGGCCGCGCAGAAAGTCTAAAAAAATTACGACATACTTCCTGGATTCTTAGGATAGTTACTGGTGGTTCTTTGGCTGTAGCGAGTGCGCACTGGATGTTGCTCGCGGAAGACCTAAGCATACTCTTAGAGTTCTTGCAAGTATATAAGTAAGGCGAGCTTCTGATGTGTTGGAAAGCCCCTGTAACACAGGTATAGAACAGGCAATTGCCTGTCGCACTAGCGCTGTGTGGAATGAGAGCATTGGGTCAATTGAGGCTCCCCATTTTGCACCCGCGATGCATCGAAAAACATTAATTGCACTATTAATTCTCCCCTCCAGCATATCTATATGTTTGGACCAAGTCAGGGATTGATCCAGTAGGACGCCAAGAAATTTGTATGATTGAACTCGCTGAATTGAGTCTCCATTTACATTAAGTTCGAAACCAGGAAGCTTTTTTCTGGTAAATGGTATAAATGCAGATTTCGTGGCAGATATCTCCATTCCTCGTTCTCTTAAAAAATTGTTTGTCGTGTCTAAGGCTACCTGTAACTGATTCTTTAAAATATCTGGGGACGAGCCAGAGATCCAAATACAAATATCGTCAGCATATATAGATATTCGTAAAGGTGGCTGGAGTTTCTGCGGTAATTGCGCCATTACGACATTGAAAAGAGTAGGGCTCAACACGCTACCTTGGGGTACTCCATGGTGGAGTTCATGATGCTTGCTGTCTCCATCATTTGTACACACTACAACGTTCCTGCATCGAAGAAACTCTTGTATCCAGTGAAGCATGCGTCCATGTACACCAAGAAGCACAAGTCCTTCAAGAACATGA